TGATGTCATCCCACGATTCCTCTGGTTTTCAGTCACTGGTGTTCAATGCATCAAATCTATTCTTCAGATGGTCTCTAAATGCAGATGGGATATAATCAAGGTCATATTTTGGCTCTCATGGACTTGTTTTCATTTTCTTTAGCTTCAACTTGAATTTGCATATGAGTTGTTGATGGTCTGTTCCTCAGTCAGCTTTGGCCTTGTTTTGGCTGAAGATACTGAGCTTCTCCATCGCCTCTTGCCACAGATATAGTCAATCTGATTCCTGTGTATTCCGTCTGGTGAGGACCACGTGTATAGCCACCATTTATGTTGTTGAAAAAAGGTATTTGCAATGAATAAGTTGTTGGTCTGGCAAGTTCTATCATGTAATCTTCAGTGTCATTTCTGTCACCAAGCCTATATTTTCCAACTACCGGTGATTCTTCTTTGTTTCCAACTTTTGCATTCCAATCACCAGTGATAATCAACACATATTGATTGAATGTTTGGTCAATTTCAGGCTGCATCAGTTGGTAAAAATCCTCAATCTTCTCGTCTTTGGCTTCAGTGATTGGAGTGTAAATTTTAATAATAGTATTAACTGGTCTCCCTTGTATGTATATCTACCACTGACAGCATTGTACGTCAGGATAGATCTTGAAACACTCTTTGTGACGATGAATGCCACGCCATTCCTCTTCAAATTGTCATCCTGGGCATAGTAGATCATATGCTTGTCTGATTCAGAATGGCCAAAACCAGTCCATTCCAGCTTATTAATGCCTAGGATATTGTTCTTTATGTGTTCCATTTCATTTTTGACAATTCATCTCGATTCATACTTTGTATGTTCCATGTTCCGATTATTAATGGATGTTTGTAGCTTTTCTTCCCATATCGAGTCTTGTCCTATCAGCAAATGAAGGTCCGAAAAGCTTTACTCTAGTCACGTCATTAAGGTTGACTTAATGGTACTTTGAGGAGGCAGCTCCTCCCAAGTTGTATTTTGAGTGCCTTCTGACCTGAAAGGAGTTCAGGTGGCATAGTACCTAAGGCATTTCACTGCTAACCAGAAGACTGGTAGTTCAAACCCACCAGCTGCTCCACGGAGGGAAGGCTGGGGAATCTGCTTCCCTAGAGACACTGCCTCGGAAACCCGAGGGGGGGTCGCTATGAGTCACAATTGACTCGACAGCAGTGAGTTTGGTTTGGTTTGGTTCCCGACCTGAGGGGCTCATCTTCTGGCACTATATTGGACAGTGTTTCAGGGCTGTTCATAAAGTTTTCCAGCACTGTATCAGACAGTGTTTCACTGTTATTCATAAGGTTTTCACTGGCCAATTCTTTGAGAAGTGGCTGGCCCCTTCCTTTTTCTGAGTCTGTCTTCATCTAGTAGCTCCACTGAAACCTGTCCACCATAGGTGACCCTGCTGATACGTGAAATACCAGTGGCATAGCCTCAGCCTCCCAGTAACATGCAAGCCACCACAGTATGACTAACTGACAGTAGACTTGTGGAAACTTAGAAGCCCCTCAGTCTGATAAAGAGTATGTACAGAAAAAACACAGCTGACATCACACTTCTGTTGTTGTTAGGTGCCAGCCATCAAGTCATTTCCAACCCACGGCTGACAACAGACTCTTGTTGTTGCTGTTGTTAGGTACCATCAGGTTGGCTCCAATTCATAAAACCTACATCTGGATGGATACGCAAAGATGGTGGAATAGTCAGAAAAGCTACACTGACCCTCTACACCAAAGAAACAAGAAGCCAACTGTGGACGTTATGTTTGTGTGTCAACTTGGCTGGGCCTGGCTGAGTGGCTGGGCAGCTGGTGGTAGTTATTCCCCATAATGAGACTGGCAATCAACTCCATGGTGGGATCTACTACAAGCAACTGAATAGCTGCTTTGGGTATGTGCTCTGCTTCCCGTATATAAGAAGCAGCTTTGGGAATGGTCTCTAGCTTATGGCATGCTTGGACCCTGCATGTAGCCGAGTC